AGGGAAGAAAGTCCTATGATATTTTATGTCTAATTGATCATTTGACCAATCGATCATGGGTGTCTATCCCCCAGGAATGGCCACACAGCACAGGTTTCCATGCTAGGGAAATGGTTTTCATGTGTAGGGAATGCAATTTTCCCGGAGGAGGTCGCTCCCATTGCCCAAGGGTATCGGGGTCAGGTGATCAAGGGCTTCTCACCTGTCTCAGTCCCAATACTTATACTTACAACCATCAAATAGGGCTGAGCTACTTTCTTTATATTCTGCTTGATAAAGTCATATCAAGTATGACTTTAATAACCAGAAATAACACATTAAACAAATTGCATCAATGTATATCATATATATACACACACACATAAATATGCATTTAGCCCTGACTGGTTTGGCTCAGTGGATAGAGCGTCAGCCTGCGGACTGAAAGGTCCCAGGTTCAATTCCGGTCAAGGGCATGTACCTTGGTTGCAGGCACATCCCCAGTAGGGGGTGTGCAGAAGGCAGCTGATTGATGTTTCTCTCTCATCGATGTTTCTGACTCTCTATCTTTCTCCCTTCCTCTCTGTAAGAAATCAATAAAATATATTTTTTAAATGTGCATTTAAAAAATGTGTTATACGACCTTAAAAAAATAACCTCCCATTTCCACGTAACAAATATAAACCTGGCCATGTTTCCATGACAACCGATGATTTTTCAATGGCTGTTTGTCATAAGGATGGGCCGTGGTTTCTGTAAGCAACCCTCTGTCATTGGACATGTAGGTTGTTTCCATTTTGTGACTATTCAACGCTATTCCGGCGCGGCCACCCTCACGCATACGTCCCTGTGCACTGAAGCAGAATATAAAGTAGCTCAGCCCTAGCTGGTGTGGCTCAGTGGATAGAGCGTCGGCCTGCGGACTGAAGGGTCGGAGTTCAATTCCCGGTCAGGGTACATGCCCGGGTTGCAGGCTCGATTCCCAGTAGGGGGCGTGCAGGAGGCAGCCAATCAATGCTTCTCTCTCAAAATTGATGTTTCTACCTCTCTCTCCCTCTCCCTTCCTCTCTGAAATCAATAAAAATATATTTAAAAACAAAACAGCGTGCTCAGATGCGTCCTGCTGAGACCCGACACCGCACTGCCCAGATTTGGGAGAACATGGACGGGCTGTGGATACTTCCAGATGTCAGACCAAGTCCAGCCACACGGGTCCCATGTCAGAGATGGCGAAGAGCACACGAGGTGGGGACATCACCTGTGAGGCCACACAGCTGGTGAAGGTCAGAGCGGGGGCCTGGGCTGGCTGGTCCCTGCCTGCTTGTCGCTCACCTGTCACTCACTCACTGGCTCCCCCATGCAAGGACCAGCGGGACGTGCGAAGATGATGGAGGTGGCCCCGTGCCTGCAGCCCACCTGTGCCCCCATCATTGTGCCGCCTGCCGTGGCCCACACAGCACCCCTGTTCTAGCACAGCCCATCTCGAGAGAGGGGTGCAGTGCGGAGCGGAGGGACCTGCCAGGTAAGAGGAGACCAGGAGTCAGGCTCCGGTCTCAGCCCGGAGCCCTTGTCCCTGGCCACGTGGGTACACGGCCTCCTCCTTGAGAGCAGGAGAGGTTTCCCGGTGGCTTCTGGGACCGAGAGCAGCTTGTACATTGCCGACACGTGTTCCTTGTTGTCTTTAAGTGTGTGAGACAGATTTACTGCTACTCCTCGCACATGGATCACCCGCCTGTACTTCACACGGGCTGTGTGCCAGACCCGGAGCGGCTGCGTGTCCCTGAGCCATCGCCAACCGCGCAGGGGGCTTGACGTGCCATTGCACGGACGCGGACGTCGGAGCTCAGAGCAAGGGGGTTCCCTCCGGGCAGCCGGGTGAGCTCTTCTGCTCTCTTCCTCGGCCTGCGTCCTTTCTCACATGCGCTCCACTCGCTCACTCTGTGTTCATGGCCTGTGTCTTCCCAGCAGAGTGCCAACCAAAGGGCAGGGACCGCTGTCTACTTGTTCACTTGTGCGTCCAGGGCTCAGGGGCCCTGGCACCCAGTAGGTGCTTAATAAACATTCATGTATTGAACGAATGGCTGCCTGATTCCGGAGTCCAGGTCTTGGACAAACCTTGCCATCAGACTCATGGCCACCAGGAGGCCGGCCATTTGGGGCAACGTCCCAGAAGGGGAGGGGAGGGGAGGGGAGTGGGTGAGACGCTCCCCTTTGGGCAGAGGCCTGGGGTCACGCACAGCTGGCGGGAAGGAGGGAGGGAGGACCGCGCAGGGCCACATGCCAGGGTGGGGCGGAGTGCCCCGTGAAAAGCATTTTTCATCACTGCCTCCCACGCTAAGGTGCTCCCGCCCCGCGGCTCACTCAGCTGCATTCCAGGCTGC